GTGCTCCCCAGGGACACATTCCTCAGAGGGTCCCTGTCCAGAGGAGTGCTTGACTGTGCCTCTCCAGGTCTTTGTGTCCAGGGCTTTGCTGTGTGTACCTGCGTCTCTCTCATCCTCCCTCTCCCTCGCCGCACAAGCCCTCCATATGTTCCCAGGGGACCTTCACTTGTAAATATTTGGAAAGGCTTGGGCTGTTGTTAGAACAAAACAGGGATGATGACTCCGTTCTGTTAGCCAAAGAGGCCTAATATCCCAGCCAAACTGTGGGTGTGCAGTGTCTAGAAAACGGCAAATAAAAATCACTGAGAGGACCAGCAATCACCATAGATCAACACACCACACACACACACAGCACACACACACACACACCACTACACATTAAACCCAGTCTTTTGGCCCCAGGAGTGGGGAGCAGTGTAGATGGTGCTGAGCCCTGACCCTGTCAGCACTGAAGAGCTTCCCAAAGCAGGGCCGCCACAGTCTCAGGCTCCTGGCAGCCAAGGGTTGGTCCCTCCTCTGTGAGAAAGGCCCCTCTTTGTGCCAGGGACTTGGCTGGCCCTGAGTTTGCATACAGAGAAGTCAAAGGCAACAGCAAATGCAGGCAGGACATTCATCTGCCTTTGATCGCTGTCCCCAGGGAGGCTCCCCTTCCCTATGGCAGGGCCCAGTGAGCCCTGAGCCCTCTACTCGGGATGAGCTGTAGAGCACGGGTCTGACCATCTTGGCAGGTCAGCTGTAGCGTCTGTCTGGGTCTTGTCTGCTGACTGCTGACATCCTCTTATAGAAGGTGGGGAGGGTCAGTGAGTTTTTACCTGAGATTCTAACCACTCCTCCAAGTCAGCTGTGTGCATCCTCCCCTAATTGTCAATGGCAAACTGTCATCGACGCTGGGTGAAGACTTTCCAGTGTAGCTGTTTGGGGTCTCCCGATATACTTTCAGTGACCCCGCCCCCATCCATGCTCTGTCAGAAGCTCCATCATAAACCAGTGAACAGACATTCAGTGCATGAGCGTCTCACTTGGGTCAGGTGCCTGGGCTGTCCTGTGGCGCACACAGCCAGTACTTCACCCAGATGTGCACCCAGGTTTCCAAAAGAGATGGCTTCTCCTTGGCTCCTCCTTCTTTCCCTTTTCCCTTGGGGCAGAGAAACCCCTCCAGTGACTGCAGGGCATCCCACAGCACACTTCCCTGGTCTCCCCACAGACCCCCTGCAAGCTCTCTTCCCTGCCATCCACTCTCTACAGGGGACCAAGGGACCTTAAGAACCATTCTCACCTGCGAAAGAACGAAAGGGGAGTGGCAACATCTGGGCCTGGCCTTAGACCTTCTATTCCAGGGAGCTGGAGAGATGGCTCTGCGGTTAAGAGTAATCACTGGCTGCTCTTCCAGGCGATGGAGGTTCACCTCCCAGTGCCCACGTGGTGGCTCCCAGCCATCTATGACTCCAGTCCCCAGAGATCCAATTCCCTCTTCTGGCCTCCGTGAGCACCAGGTATACACGTGGTGCACAGACATATATGAAGGCAAGACACTCAAACACATAGAATAAAATAATAATGATGCTTAATTTAAAAATTGTTTTAAAGCTTCTATTCCCCTGGGCACCATTGAGGCCTGAGGATTATGAGTTTGGGGTCATTCTGTGAAGATGCTAGCTGACAGAGGTGGGAATGGTCTGGCGGCCAGGAACATCCAGAGACTCTCACATGCAAATGAAATCAGAATAGGACGAAATGGAAGAGCTGCACAACCCTCACCCCACTGACACAGTCTTCACCTCCCATGGCCTCCTGCCCACTTCTCCCTCACAACTGCACCACTCCCTCAGCCCCTCTCACTGCCTTCAAGCATGTCGCCTTGTCCCCACAGCAGAACCGTCTCCTGCCATCACCTGCCTGGCCTGCTGCTTCCTTACACACAGTCTCTTGTGTGGGTCTGACTATCATGTCGCCTGCTGGAGGAGGCCCGTCACCTCATCACTGGGTTTTGCTGACTTGCCATTACCCACGGTCTGACTGCTCTGTACCCCTGGCTCTTCTTCATGATCTGTCTCCCTGTAACGAGGTAAGGGCGGGGACGCTTCCCTCCATCCCAAACTTCCTGTTGCATTTCCATCGCTGTGACAAAATGCACAGACAAAGCAAACCCAAGCGACAGCCCATCCCTGCAGGGAAAGCAAAGCAGGAACCGGAAGCAGCTGATCGCATCACAACCAGTCACGAGCAGAGAACAGGGAAGGCACGCAGCTTCTGCTCAGCTCGTGCACCCCGCTTTGGGACTGCCCGCAATAACAGTTCAGTCACAGACCCGCCTGATCAGGCAATGCCTCACGGAGACGCTCTTCTCAGGTGATTCTGAGAACCCACCACACCCACTAATGTGCCCCAGGCATGGTGCCCTTCTTGACACAGTAGATATCATAGATATTCAATGCACAAATGAAAGGCTCTCTTCTGCTCGCTGTTGCTCCTTGGCTGCACACAGCTGCGGCATCATTCTTTTCTGTTTACTCAGGAGGCTCCTTGGCCTCGGCTCCATTGACATGTAGACCAGGAAGACGCTCCACATGTCGGTAGTACCACTGGCTCCAGTTGTGAGAGCCAAGACTGTCTCTAGACAAAATCAAGAGTCCCGGCGTGGAGAGCACCGCCCAATCTGAGAACACTTGCTTTGCACTATCTCCCTTCCCGGTAAAACGCAGAAGTTTTAACAAGTTGCTTTTTTTTTTTTTTTTTTTTTTTGGTTTTTCGAGACAGGGTTTCTCTGTGGTTTTGTTTTTTTTTTTTTCTTTTTTTGTTTGTTTGCTTTATTTTGTGTTTTTTTTTCATTTTTTCTTTTTTCTTTCTTTCTTTCTTTCTTTATTAAAGATTTCTGTCTCTTCCCCCCAGCCGCCTCCCCTTTCCCTCCCCTCGGTTTTGTGGGAGCCTAGGCAGTTTGGATGCTCACCTTACTAGACCTGGATGGAGGTGGGTGGTCCTTGGACTTCCCACAGGGCAGGGAACCCTGATTTCTCTGTGGTTTTGGAGCCTGTCATGGAACTAGCTCTGTTATTCCTCCGGCACAGTTCTACAATTCTACAATTTGACCAGCAGATGGAAGCAAAGACCATCCTTCTGGTAATGCGGCCTCTGCAAACATTTCCTGGCCTTGGACAGCAGGCAGCCTCTGGCAGTATTAGTCCGCTGGTGGGAGCTGCCTCGCTGCTATGTTTACACTTCTGAATAAACAGAAGATGTCCGATATCCAAGGTCCAGGGACAGAGAAGGTGCAACAGTTGACATTTGGGAATTCTCAGTTCTGTGTTTCATTCCCATTGCAACACTTTGCCTCCTTGTGCCTCTGGGGTGGTTGATAATGACTGCCTATGCCTCAGTTTCCCCACCTATATCCTGCTTGATCGATTTCCCAGTACTCCATGTTTACCATGCCTCTCTCCTCAACAAGTCAGCTCAGCAGTCCAGGCTGGTCCTATAATCATTGCCCCTCAGTCTGTCAAGTGTTTGTTGACTGACTGACTGATGTGTAGACTATGTAGTAAGTCCTCACTGGGAATCAGCTGTGAAGATGATGTGTTGAGCACGATGTAAAAATGAAGGTGTCATGTAGAAGATGATGCCGTCATGGCTCTGATAAAGCTGATGATGTCATGGTCAGAGACAGTGACATCGTGCAGCTGGTGCTGTCATTGTGGTGGTGTGGATGAGAATGTCCCCCATAAGCACTCAACTATGCCTGCCTGCCGCCATGCTTCCTGCTGTGATGGCCATGGACGCTAACCTGCCACTGTGAGCCCCGAGTCTAACACTTTCTTTAGAAGTCGCCCATGGTCAGAGTGTTTTATTACAGCGATAGAAGAGTAACCAAGAGAGCCCTTAGGATATTGATGTCACACAGGAACAGTGATGTTGTCGGTGAGTATGATGATGTCATTTGGGTGGCAACATCACGTGACGATGGTGACATCTCAAAGATGTAATGTCAGAATGCTGAGAATGGTGTCATCTAATAACCCCCACCAACGGCCATGAAACCCCCTGACCCTGGCACCCCCTGAGTTCCTTCAACCCACAGCGCCCTTCCTCCCACCTCAGAAAGGGTCCCAGTGAATCCTCCCAGAGCACTGCCGAGCTCCACCCACACAAGAGCATCTCCCTGCAGGCTTGGGGAAGGCTGACGCCTGGCCTTCACTGGGCAGACACAGAGGTAACCATCCATGGGGTAGACTGGGTTTGGAGAGCCGTTCTTCCTGACTGCAGCTACCACCTGCCCCTTCCTGTGAGGGTCCCTTGACAACCCTGGAGAAGTGTGGGGACCAACACTGCCCACCTGAGTAGTCTGGAATGTCTCGGGGATGAGTCTGCTGGCATTTCCAAAGTGAGCTCCCAGCCCAGAGACTCAAAGGCTTGCCTGCAGAAAGCCTTTTCTGCAGAGGATTAGGCAGGACTCTTCCCAACCCCTCTGCTTCCTCCCTCACTCCCTCCCCTCCCTCCATTTGCCTCCTCCACTCCCCTCCTCCACCTCCACCCCACTCCCCTCCTCCACCTCCACCCCCCTTCCCTCCTCTGCCCATTCCTTCCACCACTCCCACGTCACTTCCTGCTCCCCTCCACTCCTCCCCCGGCCCCTCCACGCACACACTAACCGGAATGACCCACTCCCAGAACCTTTCCTCCTTGGTACTGGAACTTCAGAGTCTGACTTCTCCCTGGTGCTACCCATGGTGCCCCGCCCCCTGGTCTGTGTCTAGGTTGTATGATCCCCAAGGCAGCATCTGAGGCAGGGGAGCCCTACAGGGCCCTGAGCTTGCTTAGAGAAGCTGTGCAGGAAGCAGGGTTGCTCTTAAGAACAAAGTATGCCAGCGTCTCTGTGCACCTTTGCAGAAGTTAACTAACCTCTCTGGTCCACCCATTTTCTCACAAAGAGAAGCTGATCCAAAGGTCAGGGTTGAGGAGAAAACAGAGCCAGAAAAGGCACAGTGGGCTGAGCCACAAAGCTCCCAGGTGGTTAGGATTGGCGTTTATTTCAGGTGATAAGGGTTCCACACCCTCTCTCCTCTTGCAGTCCACCAGACAGACACACATGCACACAACACAGCAGAGTGGGCATTCCAGATAGCACAAGGACAACAGTCAGGTGGGGCTCACCCACCGTGGGCACCGTGGGCCCTCTGGCCTCTGTGAAGGGCGTTTGAGGAAGAAAAGGCTGCTATTCACGGAGATGCGCCCCACTCCAGGCCTCCTGGGCTGGCCAAACTCAGATAGCCTGGTCCTGCCTCTGTCTCAGGCCGAGCACTCGCGCAGCTGCCAGGAAGGCCACCCCTGTGAGCAGCTCAGAGACAAAGCTAATCCAGCCGAGGGCCAGGGACCAGCCAAAGCGGATGTCCACTTGGTCCAGCAGGGCCCTCTCCTCCAGGAGGCAAGCTGCCTCCCGGAAGGCGGCAGCTGAGTATGCTATGTAGATGCTAATTCCAGCGAGGGTCACCGTGGCTGCAGGGACAGACAGACCGGGACAGACAGTTAGACCCTTCTAGCCTGCCCCTCCTCCCTACTTCTCCAAATCCACCCGGGGCCCCTCCTCCACCCTTCCCTCTTCTATCCCTACCTCCTCTCCTTCACCCCCTCCTCCACCCCTCAGCTTCCTTCCTCCCTCTTCTAACTACTCCTTTCTCCTCCCTCCTCCCTCCTCCCCTGCTTCCTTCTGTCACCTTTGTGAATGGCAGCCTCCTAGAAAGAAGCTATGTCTACAAGGGCTGGCTGATTGAACCTTCAGTGATGTGGAGGGCTGGACCAACCAAAGGGCCTCGAGTGTTGTCAGCACCCAAGGCCCACACCTCACTGTAACTCACCTACCCCGTGTTCCTATCAGTGTGTTTTGCAGAGTGTCTTGATTTACAGCTTCCTTTATTCTGTTGCTATAAAATGTTCCTGGAATTGCTTCTTCACTGCTACTTGGAACATGGTATTCGTGGAGACCTAAATCTATGTTCCCTATATTCAGTTCCAGAAAGAAAAACCACACGCATCTTCTACCCTTTTGACAAAAGAGCTGTTGTGTCCCGACAGCTTTTTCTCCCTTTCCTCTCCCTCCTCCTCCCTCATCTCCCTCCTCCTCCCTCATCTTTCTTCCCTCTACCTTCATCTCCCTCCTTTTTCTCCCTCACTTCCTCCTCCCTCTCCCTTCTTCCCTCCTCCTCCCCGTCTCCCTTGGTTATTCAGGACTGTCCTCCCAGTCAGACTGCTGCCATCTTCGGGCGGTCTGGGCCGCTCCCCAAAGGTCAGCACGGCTGGGCTTGCAGGGTAGTGGCGGTCATAGGGCCCTCACTTGAGTGTGCAGCCACCACTGTCACATGCACCTCTGCTCTAATTACTTGTGGTCTTGGGGGAAGAGCAAGAGGATCTAGGGAGGAGGGAAGGACTGTAGGGGCATCATCTACACAGCCTAGAGAGTCACCCATGCTGTGGGCAGACTTTCCAGTGTGCCTGCTTTAAGGCCACCCATGCTCCTGCCTGTAACCCCTCACCTGCTGCTCAGAAAGCCATTCGTTCCCATGTTGAGCTTTGGTGCAATCCTACCTCATTGGGTCATGAGAAGGAGGGGTAGATGTGGTTACACCTATCCCAGGGAGGAACGTTAGCAGCACCCTCCTGTCTACACCCACCCACCCCAGCCACATTCTCTGCACACAACACACACACACACACACACACACACACCTTTACTCCCTCATCTTTTCCTCCCTCCCTGCCTCTGCTTCCCTCACCAACTCCTCTTCTCCCAACCCAGCCAGGGGTCTCCACAGCACTGTCTTCAGAGCCTTTGCTGAGCTGGGTCCCTGCCTGCTGCAGCTGCCCCCCTCCCCCTCAGCCTGCAGCAGCTGCCCCTCTCCCCCTCCTGCTCAGCCTGCTGCAGCTGCCCCCCTTCCCCTCCTGCTCAGTTCTGCTAGCTGCTTTGGGTGAGCCTGAGTGCACATGGGTGCACAATATATGGGTGCACAACATATGGGTGTGTGATATATGGGTGCGTGATATATGGATGCCAACTGTAATTGCCAAAATGAACTTATCACTCCTGCTACATGAAGCCAAGAGCCACCGAAACCGTATGTCCCCAGTCCACACCCAAAGCTTCTGCTCATCATTTATTCTGTCTCTGTGGGCTCTGCTCATTGAGAAGCTGCCGTGAAGTGTAATCATGTGAGGTGTGTCCTGCATTGCCTGTCCAGTCTGATTTCCCACGTCAGAACCGCTACTCGGCAGAAGGCAGCAAAGCAGTGGATGTCAGGGTCTCTTGTCCACCCACAGCCCTAAGCCGGAAGCCAAGGCCATCAATGCGAGACCAGACAGAGGTGACAGACCACTCTTCAAGATGCTGGGGGTGGCTCCCAAGGCTGTGTTCTCCTCCTCCTCCTCCTCCTTCCTTGGAACCAGAGATCTTGGGACCTCAAGGCTGGAAAGCACTGCCCCTTCCCTCTGACATCCCGTGGGGAAAGCCCTTCCAGGAGCTGAGACCCTGCTCCTAAAGAGCGCATAGCCCTTGGTACCCATGTGACTGTAGGGCCTGGACCCCGGGCAGGGGAAAACCTACCTCCAAAGAGAAATAAGGTCCCCGTGAGCAGCAGAAGGAGGTGGGCTCGGAGGAGGAAGCTCAGGAACCCAGTCATTCCCCCAAACACCATCACAATCAGGCTAAGTGGCAACAAGATCACAAATGTCCCATGCATAGCTAGAGAGAAGGGAAGACCAGGTACAGGGGGTTACTAACATCGAAGATTTAATCATTTACATACATTTACCATGTAGCCACAATAGTGACTTCTATTGATTAAAAAAAAAAAAAAAAGTGGAGACTTCTGGATGCATGTTCGGTGTGGCGAGCAGCATTGCACTTACTCGCGGTGACCGCTAGAGGGAAGTGGTGCACTATTATTCTCTCCGTGCAGCATCAAGGGACTGACATGAGCACGCAAACGAAAAAAACGAGCCTATGAGATACGCACCAGGGCTCCTGGGAAATCTAGTTTCTTTCTAGGCTGAGGACAGTCGCGAGTGGGGGAGCGGGTGAGAGGGCAAAGGAGGTGGAGAAAGGCCGTTTTATAAAATCTTTATATCCCCCAAATTCTATCTCTGTCTCTGATCCCACCTCCAAATTACAGGTGCGTCATAAATTCAAGGCACGTGACTCATTTTATCCTGGGTAGGGGTGTGGATCTAATCTCATCCCACATCCCAGAAGAAACTACACACCAAAAGCTTTTGTGATCGTAATAATAAAATATTGATAACAAATCACACAGGGACGAGAGACAGCTCTGGTAAAAGCACTTGTCACATCAGCCTGAATTTTGGATCTCACATAAAGGTGGGAGGAGAACACCAATTCTACAAAGTTGTCCTCAGGCCCCCCTGTGAAGGCTGTGGGTACACATACCCACACACCATGCACACATACACACACACGCTCAATACACAAACACACACGTGCACGCGTGCGTGCTCACACACACACACACAATAACAAGCTTTTAAGACCCTGCCATACGGGCAGTCTCTGATCATGATCTGGGCACTGACTGAACTGACAATAGTGGACTGGCTGGAATCCGCCCTTTCAGCTTTTGCCCTTTGCCCTTTCGTGTGAGCGCTAGAGTCAAACTCAGGTCCTCAGACTGGGGCAATCTGCACCTGACTAGCCCGCCAGGATGTCTTGAATTATGAGCCCAGCTCCATGGTTCGGAGACAAAGATAAACAATTCCCAGACAGTACCCCCTGCGGATGAACTGATAGACTGCACACAGAAATTAGCTTCCAGGTCACAGTGCTTCTAGGAGGCCCACAATCATCGAAAGCCGTTAAATCACCCACCTCGACCACAGGCACACGCCAGCACTGAGAGAGCAGGGATGCGTGTGTGTCCCTCATTGTCCCAGGCTCTGCTAGCACAGGCTGACACACCAGGGTCTACACCATCATCCGCAAGTCCAGGGGCCGCAGCCAGCTGGAGCACGGCTTTGCAAACATCAGTTTTGTAACCTGCTCAATGGAGAGCCGGCAAATATCCCATCCTCTAGGCCTCTGTGTTGAAGACTCAGTAAATAGAAAAAATAAAACCAACCATTAAGGGGTTGGGAAGATGGTTCCGTCCATTAGGTGCCTGCTGGACAAACGCAAGGACCTGAGTCTGGAACCTTAGCATTTAGAAAAAGTGGGGTGCAGCAGCACACATCTGTAACCCCAGTGCTGGGATGTGGAAAGATGGATTCTTGCCACTGTTGGACAGTCAGTGTAACTGGACTGGGGAGCTCGAGTCACTGAGAAACTCTAAAAACAAGGTAGAGAGGCCTTTAATCCTAGTGGAGCTCTGTGAGTTCAAGGCCAGCCTGGTCTACAAAGTAAGTTCCAGGACAGCCAAGGCTACACTCAAAACAAACAAACAAGCAATAAAATAAAATATAGAAAGCAGTAAAGGAAGACACCACCAGATATCAACCTCCAGTTCGCAGCCCTACAGATTTCAACCCAGTGCAAGAGAGACTTAAGCAGCAACAGGAGTGGGGGACAGTCGTGGAGCCCGGAGACGTGGCTCAGAGGAAATGAGGAACTCGGGACCCAAGTCAAAACCTACTCTTTGGTTACTGCCAGCATTTCTGCAGCTTCCAGATCTAACGTCCACCAGCTGCTTAGTGGAATGCTCAAGGGACAGCTCTGGGGGTGTGGCTTCATAGGTTCTGGGGGTGTGGCTTGCCTATCATTACAGAAGCCCTGTGTTCCATCCCTGGAACAAAATAAAACCAGGCATGGTTTTCAAAAATCAAAAAACTTTACCTCCCTCCCACCCCGAGTGAAGCGATGACTCAGCAGTTCAGAGCATTGACTGTTCTAGCCAGGTTCAGTCCCAAGCACCCTGTTACACGGTCTGACAAGCATTTGTAACTCCAGTTTTAAGGGGATCCAATAACCTCTTCTCTCCCCCCTGCGGGTGCTGCACACAGGTGGTCCATAGACAAAACACCCATCCACATAAAATCTAAAAAATAATAATCTAAAAACAAAACTTTAAACCAGGCATTGTGATGCATGCCTATAATCCCAGCAATTGGGAGGTAGGGGCAGAAGGATCTGAAATTCAAGGTCATCCTCAGCTAAGTAGTTCATTCATGGCCAGCCTGGGCTACATAAAAACCTGCCAAAAAATAAATAAATAAAACCAGGGATTTATTTGCTAAATTGTGGAGTCAGTCAAGGTATTCCAGGTCAAGGTTCCTGCCCCACCACAGGGGGCAGCGCTTCCTCACCACAGCCTCAACCAGCATCCCTCGCCTTAGCCTCGCTCCAGGCTCCACCTCCACACCTGCCTCTTCTCTTTGATTCTCCTCTTCTGAGGACACACACTCATCATGTGTGTCATCATGGTCTTCACAGTCCATCACATGAACCCAAGAGGACCTTACCTTGAGATCCTCAACTACATCTGAAGCATTGCTTTTTCCAAATAAAGTCACTCTCCAGTTCCCGAGCGGAGGACACACTCCGCCTGACCCATTTCCCACTTTTTAATTTTTTTCTTCTTTTTTTAATTGATTTTTGTTGAGCTCAACATTTCTCTGTTCCCCTCCCTGCCTCTCCCCTCCCCTTCAGCCCTCTCCCATGGTCCCCATGGTCCCAGTTTACTCAGGAGATCTTGTCTTTTTCTACTTCCCATGTAGATTAGATCCATGTAAGTCTCTTAGGGTCCTCTGTTGTCTAGGTTCTCTGGGATTGTGATTTGTGAGCTGGCTTTCTTTGCTTTATGTTTTAAAACTACTTATGAGTGAGTACATTTGATAATTGTCTTTCTAGGTCTGAGTTACCGCACTCAAAATAATGTTTTTAGCTCCATTGGACAAACCTTTTTAAATGTATTTCTTTAACATGGGAACACGCCATGGCATACGTGTGGAGGTCAGAGGACAACTTTGTGAAGTCTGTTTTCACCACCTATACATGGCAGTGTGCTTTGAATATAAACTCTCCCCCCACCCCACCCCCCGCCGGCTCGTGGGTTTGAACTTTGTCCCTGGTTTGTGTGGGAGGGTTGTGGAACCTTTGGAAGGTAGAGCTCAGCCAGAAGCATTTGGTCACAGAAGTCCAGTGAGCTTGGAGGTTTTACAGCCTGACCCATTTCCCACTCGGCCTTGGCAGCAGGAAGGAAGGCAATGGTGGCAGGAGCAGGAGGCTGCCATGTCTTCCTCAGCATGATGCCCTCTATCCCTCCAGAATGGTGGAACAAACAAGCCTTTCTGTCCTCAGGTGTCTGTCATGGGTACCCAGTCACAGCCACAGAAACTACTAACACATGGGTTCTAGGAATGAAACTCAGGTCACAAGGTTTGTGAGACAAGTGCCCTTCCCAGGCATGTTTTTGGTTAGCGGCATCACTTAACCACACTACCATCCCTTCAGGGATATACAGTAGAAGCATCCTATATGCCTAGAGTAGACACTCAGTAGACGGCAATATCATTACAGTATAGATGGTGTTACTATAGAACTAAGTACCATACTGGTCATGGTCGGGATAAGTGTCTCCAAAGCTTGCCCTACAACCCCCCCCCCCCCTTAGCTCTATTGATCAGTGATAGGAGCAGTAGGAACTGAGGCCTGGAGTGGGGTGTGAAGTCAGTTGGGGTGTGCCTTCCGAGACATTGCAGGACCCTGGCCTCTGTCCTGTTCATACATCCTGGCTGTTTAGCGAGTAGTTTTCCTCAGTCATGTGTCCCACCAGTGTGACACCACAGCCTCAAAGTGAGGGGCCCAGCTGAGAGTACAGTGTGACCCTTAAAACCATGAGTATAAACTTTTGTCCTCACAAGCTGATGACATCAGGTGTCTGACAAGGGCGTGGTGACTAAATCCCACTGAGGAAGCGCAGCGTACACTGCCCAAAACATCCTGTAACTGCATGTTCGTTCCTCGGTGCAGCTTTGTGTTCTGGGCACATCGAGCATTCTTATAGGCCTCATAATTTTCTCAACTTTATATGTATACACATAAATATCTAGTCATCTTGTGACTGCGCGCTGAGGCTTTTCTCCTCTCTTCTTTCTTATTTTCTGCCTCAAACAAGCACGACATGTCTCTTCCTAGAAACATCACACAGAGCACAGATTCTAGAAGCAGAATCAACTTTTTAAATGTCCTGAACATGGAATTGGCTTTCCCCTGGGCCCCCAAAGCCTGTCATCACACCCAAGCTTTCATTCTCCCAAGGACTGAGCCCTGCATTCACCAACTTTCTACTGTTATGGTAAAACATCTGAGAGGAAAAGATTACAAAGAAGGAAGGTTGGTTTGGGCTTAGAGTTTCCAAGGTTTCAGTTCATGGTCGCCTGGCTCCTTGGCTTTCAAGCTGGTGACAGGGCAGAAATGTCCTAGCAGGGAGGAGCTGCTCAACTTTGGGTAGCCAGGGAGCAGAAAGAGAAGGAAGAAGCCAGTACAACGGCACTCCTCAGCCACTTCCTCCAACTGACTCCACATCCTAAAGCTCCTCCGGCTAAAACTCACCCACAGATTAGTCCATGGGTGTCTCGCCATCCAGTGCCTTCTCTGCCTTCACTATCCGGTGCCCTCTCTACCCTCACCATCAGGTGACCTCTCTGCCCTCACCGTGATCCAGTGACCTCGCCATCCGGGGACCTCTCTACCCTCGCCATCAGGTGACCACTCTGCCCTCACCATCTGGGGAC